CAAACCTAACCTCGATTTACTGAAACAACCACAGAACTCACAGAAAATCCATCTGTGCAACAAAGAACGTAGGAAACGGCGCTAGTCAAATATATGTTTAAATTATAAGTACACGACAATCAAGAATATGTCTGTCTCTTTCTTAATCATCAGGGACACTAGATAACGTCTGTTGGAAGTAGCATCAGTTGCAAAAACAATGTCTTGATTTGGTTAAATAAACGGCGAAGTTAACCTAAAAAATTCATAAAAGTCAAAAAAAAAATTTTTCCCTAATAAAAAAAACTTGAACTCCAATCGAAAAAACTATTAAAAAACCTATCGATTCGTATTTTGAAATATATCGATTGCTATATTACTTTTCGAGATATATCGAAAAAACAGTCTAAAGTTGACTTTTTTTGTTTTTGCTGTATCTCTTGCAAATTAAGGTTTTGAAACTTGTTACTTGCTGTAAATGTAGCCCTCGGCAAGCAAAAACAGTGCTATTAGAGTTACCAGAGTTACATCGATTTTTCGAAAAAAAAAGGTCATCTCAAAAATCGGCTCTTCTTGCTCAATGAATAGTCGTAGAGAAACGAATCAGGGCTCATTTTTTTCCTTGCCATGCAAGGTTACGGAGAGAATTATTTGTGAAGAACTGATCAAATTTTTACTTAACAATGATGTCATACCTCAACACCAACATGGATTTCTTCCTTGTCGTTCGGTTGTGTCGAATTTACTGCAAGCTATTAATTTCAGGACTTTATGTGCAGACAATAGACCACCCTTAAATGTTCTATACCTAGATTTTTCTTGAGTCTTTGATAAAGTGCCGCATTACCGTCTGTTGAATAAACTGAACCACTTCGGTGTCCGTGGCAAACTTTTAAACTGGATCAAGTCCATCCAATTTACGGCTCGTGTTGCTGACAGTTTCTCCGAAAAACGGAAGCGGTGTGTCGCAGGGTTCAGTCCTTGGACCAATTTTATTTCTAATATACCTGTCTGACCTTACCAATAACTGTACGTCTCTAGTGTTATCTTATGCAGACGACCTTAAATTGTTCTCCTCACCATCTTCGCTTTTACAAGATGATCTTGATATGATTTTGAATTGGTGTTCTGAATGGTTGTTGCCTCTTAATCCCGAAAAGTGCTGTGTGCTACACATGTCCAAAACTAATCCTAGACTAGCATATAACATTAATGGAATCGAACTATCCAGTGTGATACATCAAAATGATATTGGCGTTGTTATAACAGAGTCTGTTTCCTGGAGTGCACATGTTTCCAAAGTTGTGAAAAAGTGCAATCAATTAATTTTCATAATTAAAAAATCTTTCTGTGACCTCACCATCAGCATATTTCTCAAGTTATATAAATCCTGTATTCGCCCTCAGATAGAATTTGCTGTAGCCATATGGTCTCCGTTATTAAAGCAGGACATTGCAAGATTGGAAGGTGTTCAACGGCGTGCTACAAAACTCCCAGTCTGTTTTAAATACCTTACATATGAAGAACGTCTTATCCGTCTTCAATTATTGGAAGTGCGACGTAATCGTGGTGACCTCATAATAACTTATACAGGGTGTTAGTAAATAAGTGCGACAAATTTCAGGGGGTGATTCTACATGAGAAAATAATGGCAGTTTGCTTATAAACGTATGTCTGCAAATGATTCTTTTTCCGAGATACGGGGTGTCAAAGTTTTTCTTAAAAACTGACGATTTAATTTATTGCTCTGAAACCGGTCGAGATGTGCAAATGAAATTTGGTGGGTTTTAAGAGGTAGTTATTGGGCATTTTTGACACGCAATTAAGAATTTTATCTTCATCATTGGCGCGTGTACGGGTAATAATCTCAATTTTTTAAAGAAAAAAATGGTACACCACTGAGATATTACAAATTAAAATTGAATTTTGAATTCCTCGTTCAATTTGTGACAAAAAATCTCTCTTGCCTATTTTTCGTATGGGGTGCCGTTTTGATGCAAAAAAATAAAACATCTTAACGCGTATTTTTTATTTCTTTAATACATTATCAAGAACTATCTAATACAATAACATTAAACCAGAACAATAACAGAAAATAACACTAATAAAATTTTGAAAAGGCGCAAAGCTACAACAAATGTTCAAAATGACCTCCCTCAGACGTGACACAAGATTCAACTCTTCGCCTCATTGATTGTCGTATTCGCGCAAATATTCCTGGTATATTTCTTATTGTCTCACAGCCGACTATAATTCGATTCCTCAGGTCATCAACATTTTCAACGGGAGTGGAATAAACTAATGACTTAAGAAAACCCCAAATGCAAAAATCAAGAGGATTTAAATCCGGCGATCGAGCAGGCCAATGTTCCGTACCTCCCCTACCTATCCAACGATTTGGATATACTGTGTCTAAGTGATTACGTACATTAATGCTAAAATGGGCTGGTGCACCATCATGCATGTACCATAGGTGTTGTCTCAGCTGTAGAGGAATTTCTTCAAGAAGAACAGGTAACTCTTCCTGTAGGAAATTAAGATAAGATTCGCCTGTTAGTCGTTGTGGGAGGAAATATGGACCGATTAAATGATCATCAATTACCCCAAGCCATACATTTACGGAAAACTGATGCTGAAAATGAGCTTCAAAGATTCCATGGGGGTTTTCCTCAGCCCATAAGTGATTGTTATGGAAATTTCGTATACACTGTCGTCCAAAAGTAGCCTCGTCAGTAAACAAAACGGCATTTAAAAAATTAGGAATTTGAGCGATTTGATGATTAATCCATTGGCAAAAAAATAGGCGCGGAAAAAAGTCTCTAGGTAGTAGAGCTTGCACACGTTCAATATGAAACGGATACAATTGCTGTTCTTTAAGAATTTTAAATACAGTGAAGTTGCTTACATTCAATATGTTGGCAATTTTTCGAGTACTTGTTTCAGGTGACTCCGCAATTAACTCGAGAACTGCTTCTTCTAGTTGCACAGTTCGTACTTCTCGAGGGCGCCCACAGTCAACCGTTTGTTTCTTAAATGAACCATTTTCGCGCAAACGTTGATGAAGACGAGCAAATATTGTGTGATGAGGTACCCTACGTCCTGGATACAACTCAGCATACAATCGTCGAGCTTGCCGACCATTTCCATTACTTCGACCATAGACAAAATGCATGTCTGACAATTCCGCATTTGTAAAATTTTCCATTCTTTTCGATAAAAGAAAAATTAATTACTTATTAACACTAATGTTATAGCAAACTAAAAGCTTAATAAATTAATAATGACGAAACGCTAATTTGACATTTCTTAAAAATATTCGTATTTAACAGACAAATGTTGACAGTAGCCTACTAGGTAATGTATTAAAGAAATAAAAAATACGCGTTAAGATGTTTTATTTTTTTGCATCAAAACGGCGCCCCATACGAAGAAAAGGCAAGAGAGATTTTTTGTCACAAATTGAACGAGGAATTCAAAAATGATTTTTAATTTGTAATATCTCAGTGGCGTACCATTTTTTTCTTTAAAAAAATTGAGATTATTACCCGTACGCGCGCCAATGATGAACATAAAATTCTTAATTGCGTGTCAAAAAATGCGCAATAACTACCTCTTAAAACCCACCAAATTTCATTTGCACATCTCGACCGGTTTCAGAGCAATAAATTAAATCGTCAGTTTTTAAGAAAAACTTTGACACCCCGTATCTCGGAAAACGAATCATTTGCGGACATACGTTTATAAGCAAACTGCCATTATTTTCTCATATATAATCACCCCCTGAAATTTGTCGCACTTATTTACTAACACCCTGTAGAATACTTCATGGTCAATTATACTGCCAAAAACGATGTTTCAACTAAACACTGATCGTCGTCTTAGAGTTAACTCCTTCAAACTTAAGAAAGAAAATTTCTACACCAGCAACAGACATCATTTTTTAACCAATAGAATTTTCGACCTGTGGAAATCCCTACCAGATTATATGGTTTCGCCACCATCTCTTAATTCCTCCGAGAACAGACTCGATGACTACCTTAATCCACAAACTGGATGATATTTTTCTAGAATATGCATGCATATTTTATTTTTTTTACTGTGTAATTCTTGTCATTAATTTTTGTTTCTTATTTTTCTCTTTTTGTGTTTTTTTCTTATCGACCATGTATAGGATAAGTGACTTTTTTGTATTAGAGCTTAACAAGCATTTTCTTCAGCTCTTAAAAGTTGTTAATAACACTCTGTAACTAAATCGAAAATAACTGTAGATGCAATGTGAAGACGATATAATGTTAATTAAAATAATCATATTGGTCATGAGGGAATGTCATATTTTTTAATTATTGAAACATATCTTCAAGTTGATGGCAACAAATTGTATAATTTAAAACCTAGGTACATATTCTAAATGTCTTTAGTGTCACACAAGTTTTCAGTATATAATATACTTTCCGATATTTAAAATACCTGATTCCCTCCATATTTAATCTGAAAGACATTGCACAATATTAAACAATATCTCTATAATGGATTGTTGGATAATTTCAAGGAACTTTTTATGCTAGTCATGTTGTAGCAAAAGCACCTCCTAAACTGATGATACCATAGCAATGAAGCAATTGAAGCAATGATTTGTAGAAAAGCATAATAAATAGAAGTTATTAATTTAGAATACAATATTCATTTAAATTTGTATATCTGTCCTTTTAAGAATTTTTCAAATATGATGAGTCAAGTTAAACCGGATATAAAAAGCTTATTGAAGAATTATTCCTGTATCTACGAGTTTTTTTACGATAATAATTTATTAATTAATGACATTTTAGTCTTAGATAACTACATTTATAACAATTTTTTAAACCAGAACTAAAACATTTATTAAGATTACATTCCACAATAAATAAATTTTATTGATTTAATGACTGATTTGCTAATGGTCAAAATAACATTAGATCATATCTACGTTTACGCCCCAATAATATCGCTATTTAAATCGAAAATCCTACACTTTACATGACACTCTCAGACCATGATAGTCAAGGTTTTCTTTGTTCTCTCAACAATTCTCCTTTCCTCCGCCTTTGCAGGCAGAAAAGGGGAGTTGGTGTCCCTCATACAGGTAAGTCAGTTTTTATTAAATTACTTTTTTTATTATTAGTTACCATTTTGATACTTAAATTATTAATATTCTTTTGTAATCGCATATTTTTGCAATAAAGGAATAAATCTTTTGAACAAGAGAATATAACATGAATGTTATCTCAAAGAAACGTTCATTAAATTAAAAAATTAGTTCTCCTAAAAATTGGGAATATATAAAATGGCAAATGGAAATTTAAAAATATTTGTATCTAAATAGAATCATTTATTATCGATAAAGGATAGGTATACTAAACCAAAATTATGCACGTTTATGTAAAACGTAAAGAAAAAGGTTAGCTTATGTTCTCTAATACAAAATTTCTTTATAAACTGCTTCCGACAGGTGATACAGGTTATAGTCCGGGAGAAATAGGTTTTTTTCAAAAATCGGACCTAACTCGAATATTATAGGCTTAAAATTAAGTAAAAACTACACAGAATAAAAGCCAAAATTTGTGTATTTATAGAGGTCAACTGTCATATTGTTTATAACAAAAGAAAAAATAATAATTGCTCTTTTTTCAGTTTTTCGCTTATATTTTCGAAAATAAGCCTCTAATCGACATGAGGTATACTTATCGATATTGTTCCTGAGGAAATTTGCTACAAGCATAGGCTTGCGAAAGTTTGCAATTTTTTTTACGTTAAAAAAAGATACATACAAAAAAGAGCAATTTTTTTTCTTTTGTTATAAACAATATGACGCTCGACCTCTACAAGTACGCAAATTTAGACTTTTATTCTATGTATTTTTTACTTAATTTTAATAAATGTTTGAAACAAGCACGTGTTTTGTCTAATTCACCGGGATTATTACAAAAATATTAAATAAAGCCCATCTTTGCGACAAATTTGTAACAGCTCTATCACCTTTCATAGCAATTTATGTGTAGAATCGCTCCTCAAAACATAAAGAAACATTTTAACACCCCAAAAGAATATTTTATACTTTCTTACTTATGTAACCAATGTATTACACTCAAAAAAATAAAAACTTGTACCAAATAAGAAGTCTGTGTTTGAATATACACGATTTCTTTAAATTTCAACTCGATACACTGTATCCCGAATACTAAACTATCGAAAATCTCTTTTCTCTTCCTCTTTGAGAGATCAACTACTAAAGTCTGACTACAATACTTCTATCTAATTTAATCACAGATGCAGAGTTATTCATTTCTTGTTATAAAATAGACGAATTCAACAGGTTTATAGACATGGTCAAAGAAGTCCAATTATGTTCTACCCAAATGATCCATATCAAGACATCAGTTATTGGAATGTTACGGTTGGGCAGCTAACTAACGTAAGTACCGTAAAAAAATTACATTCTAAGCTGCAAAGAGTCCCTAGTATTAGTATATTAGAAAAATTGTGGAACTTATACGGAGTGATATTCTAGCAAAAATAACATTTTTACTAGAAATAAATGATTAAAAAAAGGTATGTGAAAATTGAAGACATATTAAGATTGTTTTCAAGTTTATTGGATAAAATTACCGAACGATTATTATGTTAAACATGTAGCGAGATCACCTGGCTTGAATCCTTTGGATTATTTTGTATGAAAACATTTAAAACAATTGGTTTACGCAGTGGAAACTGATAATCATGAACAATGAATGGAAAGAGTAATGTATACAGCCTAATAGCAATAGCAATTCAAAATAGCAAAAATATTTCAATTAAACAGGATTTACTTATTTTTAAGCAGTGGTTATAATGGTTTTATTAAATTTATTCATTTTTGTATAATTAATAATATGTTCGTCTTTATAAATCAGTAATGATTACATGAATACCATAATAAATTGTTCCTTATGAAACATTTGCATTTTAACAAAAAAATTAATTGAAAATTCTTATTAAAGTTTTATTCTGTCACCAACATTTATTTCATGACTACAATTGCAGAATCTTTGATGTCTAATAACTACCTACCGGCAAAAATTGTATTACAAAATATTTGCTTATCTATCTTCACAATTTAACCATCTAGTCGCCATCATAATTTTTCCTCTTTTATCACGTTGATGCATACATTTATAATCTTCTTTTTCTTCAGACTGGTAAATTGCAACATTACAAGCTGGGGCAGTACACGCGCAGGAGATATAGCGATTTTATACCGAAATACTATTCCAATGAATTTTTCCGTGTTCAATCAACAGTTGTGAATCGAACCTTCATGTCAGCGGCATCCAACGTTGCAGGACTTTTCCCACCTGTTGGTTACCAAGTGTGGAACCAAGATCTTCAATGGCAGCCGATCCCAGTCTTTCCAATCACCGATGGTGTATTGATCGGTTCTACAACTTGCAACGCTTACAGCACGGCTTCCTCGGAAGTATTAACCAGTGACGAATACTTCGTGAGTGCTTTGGAGGAAAACCAAGACCTTTTGGCATATCTAAGTGAGCATACAGGAAACAATGTACCAGTTTATCTGGCATTTTTATGATATGGGACGCCTTGAAAATCGAACATCTTCGAGGTTACACCTTACCCGAGTGGACCGAGTCAGTTTTTCCAGAACCACTTACGAGTCTGGCATCACTGTCATTTTTGGCCAACAGTTACACTGAAGAACTAAAGATCCTCAGTAAGTTATGCCAATTATTTTCGAGTCTTGTAGTTTTAATTATTTTTTACTTTATTTAGGCACCGGGCCGTTCTTCAACGAGCTCATAGAACACTTCGAAGGGATTTTGGCAAATTCTACAGATCCACCATATTTGCAGTTCAGTGGTCATGATACTAACCTAGCGGCCATTTTAGATTCTTTGGGAGCGACCCAATCTTCCGTTCCAGGTTTTGCTAGTACCATTTATTTTGAATTACGACAAACAAGGAGGAGGGATTATATTAACATCTACTACATCAATGTTTCTGGTGGGGAACCTGAACCCATCACTTTAGCCGGTTGTGGATTTGACTGCGATTTGCAGGATTTTAAGAGTATTTTGAGCAATCGCACTATTACCACCGACGAATGGGCTGAACTTTGTAATGCATAACATAATTCCTTATTTGAAATATGTCATTTTAATATATTTTAAATGTAACAGTAATTTAAATTATTTTATATAGATGCAAACAATCACACATTTGTCTTTCTTTAACACATTTATAATTGCAGAACTAAATATATTATTATGTACATGTTTATAAGAAATGTTATTCATGATGCAATAAAAGTATTAGCAATATGACTTTGTTCCTCTTCAACACACTCCTTTATAAATGTTTCTGTGACTGTAGGCAAATTTCAACCTATTTGACGTCGAATGTATTTACGCAAAACACATGAACTGTCCGATCTCTGTACTGAATAAAATAAAATTGGAATTTGGCATTGCTTTGAGAGAAGGGTATTTCTGACAAATCTCTCTGATCGGAACTGCATATACAATAATTATCGTTCAAAACGAAAAAGAATGGTGTTATCGCCATCTACTGGTATTATAATCCAATTAAATGGGCCTTTAACTCGCAATTTGGTCGACTTCAATTTTTAAGTAGTTTTGGATCAACATATGTTTGCGAAAAGTTTTTTTCAAATCTTAATTATGTAAAAAATAAATACCGCACATCTCTAACTGAGCAACATATAATATATCCGATGTGTTGTTACTGTCGACATCTGACCTGACGCCTAACATAGGAAAATTATTAAAACAAAAATTCTGACATTGATTGTACCAATTACTTGGATTTAGATTTTTGTTACATAAAATTTTGTTTCTTTGTTTGGCAGTAGATGTTACTTATTTTATTATTTTAATAAACGACAATTAATTCTCAAAATGTTGATTTTTTTGTTGCACAAAACAAAACTTTAAAGTTAGTTTAATTAAAGCTTAGGTAACAAAAATAGGAACCGTCAGTAGTCGGTGATTTTTAAATTGTCAGTTTCGCCCAACTGTTAAATAGGTTATGCAGAGTTGTTGTAGAGCATAAAATTCTACATAAAAATGATCTATTGCCTTTTTCTTGTATTATTAAAATTAATCGTTATCGTTAATTATTTTTATTAATTTGTGCATTGGAATTCGGTCACAGGTATCCTAATATGATGCAACATATTTAACTTATTGATAAGATAATACTTGGACCAAGAAATAAATATAAAAATTTTTGAACTGATAATGCATCCTGTCACTGAAGAATTTATCTTTTATATTTTTAATGTTTGATAAAGTTAAAGAATTTTTAATTTTTTCGAAAATATATTTTTTTTGGCTTGCTGCAGGCTATGCTTACAGTAAATAGCAAGTATGGGAACGTAAATGTAAACGAGTTAGAAAAGAAGAGAAAAGAGAAGATTTTTAAGGGTTTTTTCGATATATCTCTAAAAAAACAAAGCAATAGTATTTTAATTTTAATTGTCTATAAGGTAATATTTTTTTCAGGTAATAATTTCTGCAAATTTAACATTAGGCCGCCACAGCTAAATGGACTAAAACCCACATATTCAAAATGCCTTTGTTTTTAGTACACAATACACTTTGATATTTAAAATACCTGAGTCCATAAAAATTTAGTACATATGAAAGGTGTTGCACAATATTAAGCAATATCTCTATCATTTATTGATGTACAATTTCAAGGAAGTGTTTTTACCATAGTCATGTGAGCTGTAGCATAAACACCTACTAAGCCAATGATCCCGTATTGAAGCAATAACTTATTTAAATGCATAATAAAAAGAAGTTTTTAAGTATTTAAGTCCCTTTTTCAGATATGTATGATGATTCAAATTAAACTCCAAGTTTATGCAAAACGGAAAATAGATATATTATCGAGATTACAACATATTTTCTGCAATAAATAAATTTTATTGATTTAACGATTTATTTTTTTATTAATTATCGACAATAACACTAAAGCATTGATGGTCAAGATTTTCTTTGTTCTTTCAACAATCCTCCTTTCCTCTGCCTTTGCGGGCAGAAAAGGAGAGTTGGTGTCTTTGATACATGTAAGCCAATTTTATTAAATTATTTACTTCTATTCTTTTTTTGTATTAGTTACTATTTTGATGTATGAATTATTCCATTTCTTTTGTCATAGCATATTTTGCAATTATAAAGTTATTTACTACCGCTGATGTGATTCAGAGTAAATAAGAGAATAAGTATTTTGAACAAGAGAGTACAACATGAATATATTTTCAAAGAAACAATCACGAAATTAAGAAAAATATTAAATTTATATTTATAAACAAAAAAGTTAAGGGAGCAAAAAAATTTCCAAATTTTTTTTAGCTACCTTTCAAAGGTTGTAATTTTGTGAATGATGGTCGTATCGAGAAAAAAAAACATCTCGAAGCTTGAAAATTGTAGATTTGAAATCTTCAACTGAAAAATCACTCTCGGCGCAATCAAAGGAAATAATGCAAGGCAAAAATTTTACAAATTTATTTTTTTTCTTCGAAACTGCCCATGGGTACAGAAAATGTTTACTAGTCTGATTCCTCAGCTTCAATTTGATTTTTTCTACATTCTATACGATTTTTTCTCATTGAGATATCGACTATTAAGTGAAAAGTCACTTTTTTATCATTGATATATCAATAAGTAATGATCGTACAATGAATGGAAGGTAGGGGGGTTGTAAACTTGAATCAATCCTCTTCAAGGACCTTTTGGTGTGTTTGAGAAAAAAAAAATATATTTTCATACATGCTTGGTATTAATTTGAAGAAGTGCAAAGAAATGACACCTTTTTTGATGTTTTCCATGACTACTGCTTTGTAAATATTGCGAAAAGTACCAATGTTTGTAGGTTTCTTTTCAGCTTAATTTTGAAATCGATCGGTCTAACCGTTTTCCTTTCGTGAATCGTCAAAGTTTTATAAAAAATTAAAGAAGCAGGTTTATAGCTCCTTAAACATCTTTTAATGATGATTAGATGAAAAAAATGGAATTTTTCAGCTCCTTTAATTTTTTTTGCTGAGTTTAGAATCAAATTAAAAAAAACATATTCCAATCCAAAATATATTTATCTTAAATTTTTTGTTGTTGTCTCTCATCTATGACACGCTGAAGAGGACTAATAAGTCCGAAACCGGTCTGGGCCTGGTGGGTTAAATGGTGGGTTAAATTAACGAACAATCCTAGCTGTTGCATTAGGTGTTGCGAGTACAATTCAATGCCGGTCGGGGCATATAGCCCGCGGAGTATTTGTTTCTCGCAAACCTGGCAATTAAAACATTGTGTTTCGCCCTCTGTGGGTGGCGGTCGTGCAACAAAGTACCTGCAATATAGCAGGTCACTTCCTACTGCAGCCATTTGAATGGCACAGTTGGGAGTCAGCACGACAGATGGAGCCAGGTGCGCTCCGCGTACAATATATTTATCTTAAACCTAAAAAAATATGAACAACAACATACAACAACTACAACTACACCAACTACAACATATATAGTCTCTTTTTCTCTTTTGGTATTTTACTTCACTTTTCCCCCCAACCGATAGTTGTTAATGTAAATTATGTTACTACTTATAAATAGTTATTTAAATACACACGCGAATACAATTTACAGCAGACGTAAAAAAGAAAAATATCGACGCGACACCAGCTACTACAAAGTTTGTAAATAACTGACTGTTCAAAACGCGAGTCAGCTGTGAAGGCCACCGACCCCCGTGCCGGCTCTGTTAGACTTTGCACGTGCACTAAGCCTAGTTATCAGGTACAACTTGTATTTCTGGGTTTATAGCTGCGACTGTGTTTTAAGAAATACAGGGCTTTCATTAATGTCCGAGACCCACGTAACCAAATTGGTTGTCACTATCAATATATTTGATTAAGTTGGCTATTACGAAAAATTTCAAGTTTAGGGATCCTAAACCAGCTGTCAGTCCAGAGGCGTCCACGGTACCGCGGCCGATAGTTTACGTCATTACTTTCTTATGCCAGTACGTTTTCCCTTGATTGTTTTTCTGATGTACCAACATTTTTACGTTTATTTACTTTACTGACAACAGTTCTTTTCAGAACTACAGAATTTGTTTGTGTTTTTTACGTAAGTAAATAATGTATTTTAAGGTTATGTTTACTTATATCTGTTTCATATTTTTAGACTTCAAGTGTTTAAAAATGCCTTTTACACCTGAGCAAGATGCCTATATTTTAAAGGCACATTTTCGGAGTGCCACGCGAAATCCAGATGGAATTTGGTCNATGAAGGAGGACATTTTGAACACCTTTTATAATAAAAACTAAACAAAATACCACTCACCAAAACACTTTTTAATTGTGCGTTGAGAATGTTAACTTTGTTAACAAAACGCAGCATCGGAAAAAGTAGAAGTGTTTTGGTGAGTGGTAAAATTATTTTCTGTTTTGTATCGACATCAAACGTTCCAAACCTATCCTAAGATAAACAAAACTATTGTGACTTATTTATATTCTCTACCTGTTAAAACTTCTAGTTTAAATTTGAACAAGTGTAAACATGACTAATTTTTTACCTGGAACATAAAAATTTTATGGCAAGATGTATGCAATATGTAATAAAAAATTTTTTTATAAATATTAACTGTTCAACAATCAATTATTGTAAATTGTTTTTTTGAATTTGA